ACCTGAAGATTTCAGGAGTGAACAGACAAGGTTTTTGGGCGGGCACAATCTACCTGGGGGGAGATCGCACTACGCACGTGAGTGGAGTAGTGGACACGGTGTGTGACTCCAATGCACCGCGGATCGGGACGGCAGTCAGCGGTGTGTTCTTTTTCGTATCTAAGGGGATGGGTATATATGTAATTCCATGGCGCCCTATTGGTCGGTCTTGCTTCTTTTCTTGTTTTGAAGGTCCTAGAGGGGTCCCCGATGTGAGTGAAATTCGTTCTGATGTTCAGGCACCTTCCACTTACCTTTTGGAGGGCGCCCTCGCAGGAAAGAAAGACCAACAGCTAAAAGTTTCGGTCTTTGCCATTATGACGGGATGTCAGTTCGTGTCAGACTGTGTGCTTATGCTGTCTGGACGATGGGACTGGCACTGAACCTTTCCAAGTTATGCCATCGGATTCGGTTGCAGTTCTCGGTGGGTGGACAATATTGCGCTTGCGAAAGTGCAGCGACCACAGTTTTTTTTAAGTTTTATGTTCATGGAAAGGATGCCACACGGATGTCGCCCGCACGTCGCACACCCGTCACACTACACCACATACCTCTATAGTGGGATCTCCCTCCTGTTTTCTCTGCTCCTTTTTAAAAAACATTATGTTTGAAAATGGAGTATGGTAAAGCCGAGCCACAATCTCCAAGAAAGTAGAATGGGGAGTGATTTTCCCCAAAAAAAGAAGGGATAATTTGCAATATACCCCCACAAGTTGAGATATATGCCAAAATGCCCCTAAAAGATGTGGGTAGAGCGGAATGCCCCTCTGATAAAATAAATATTTTGTGACATACCCCTGGTGTTCGTTGGACCCCCATCTTTGCAATATACCCCTACCAGGTACCATCGAACTTTGCGAAACGCCCCAGTACTTGACAACTTTTCCTACGCACATTTGGAAAACCCCAAGGCCCAAATGGGGAGGTCCAGATTGCAAAGTTGCACAACCGCCTGACAGGGGCACAACACAAAGATTTCAGCCCAAAAGGGCATTCCGCTCTACCCACATCTTTCAGGGGCATTTTGGCATATATCTCAACCTATGGGGATATTTTGCAAATTCTCCCAAAAAAAAGAAAAAAAAGAAAAAAATGGGGAGTGGTAGAGCAACATCCATTCATCTTTTCTGGATTTTTTGTCAGATATCATACTCCTCAATGTTAGAGTAACGGCCCTCTTTGTTTTTTTTTGTTTTTTTTTTCGGCCCTCTTATTTGTTAGGGGTTGAAGAGAGGATCTTGCGAGTTATTGCACCTGTCTGACAGACTGACACTCCCAAAAGGACTCTGATATCTGATCCACGGGAAAAAGGCACAAACGGAAATAATGCCACTTGTCTCTTGGGAGCCGAACCGGGTTTGCAAGGAAAAACAGAAGTAGTGCCACTTGTTGTCCCTTGGGAACCTAATATGGTTGGCAAGCAGAGAAGTAACTGCTGTGGCCGCATTTCCGGGTAAATTCACTTACCAAGGGGCCTACCCTTCTTTACCCAAAAACAGCATACTACTGTCATTATTGAAAGTATCTAGACTCAAAGTTATCCCAAATACGGCTATTGGCCTAGTATAGCCATATATTGTATCGGGTTAAGACTGTAGCCCAGTTGGTACACCCGCATATTACCTGATGCAATGAGATGAGGCAAGCTGGTTTTTCTAGTTGGTCCAGATGCAATGCGATGAATGTTCTTAAAGAACCTGGGGCAAGCTGGTTCCTCTATTGTATCTATGTTTTCAGAAAGGCCGGTTGATAAGGGGATGGGGGCGGGGGGACGTCACCGGGCCAGATTTTTTTTTTTTTTTTTCCAAAGATCTGGCTGGATTGTTCACTACTGTCTCTGGGATGGAGCTTCCCTTCTTGTCCACTTTGAGAGTCTAACTTTATCATTACAAAAAAAAAAAAAAAAAAAATAGTCTAGCTTTGGCGAGGTGGGTATCCGGATCTGTAATTCGATCATGCCTAGATCAAATTTTCTAAGAAATTTGCCGTTTTGTGGAAACATTGGCTGCCTATTCTCACCGGATGGGGTAGGTTGTGGGACGATTGTGCTGGGGGAACCGTGGCCCGATGGTAGGGCTGATTTGATGAATTATGGGTTTGGATGGCCTGACGCCAGGTCCCCCTTTTTTCGGGTTACTCTTGAAGACTCAGGGTATTGCTGAATAGAAGTTGGGTATTTTACGTTGGTCTGGGTCCTGTCTTATGGATTTAATCATTTAAATTTTAACCTTTTTTTTTTTTTTTTTTTTTTACGAAAGAAGTTCAGGAGCAATTTTAAGAAACCATGAATAACTGTTGACCTACCGACCTATTGCTAGGTTACTCAATCCGCAGTTACTAAGACTTTTTGTGTTGAAAATATCTGGAAAGGCTTGGAAAACTATATGAGCGGGGGGTCAAAACTGAAACAACCTACTATCCAGAATTCCCCCTTCAACATGCGGAAGGTCTGTCCAGGCTTTCAGTCCACGTACCAGAACTCACTTGATCTCATACCCCCTTTATGCTGGGGTAACAGGGCACCGCAACCTTCCCCAGTACTGACCAACCTAGTTCTGACGGACAGGAAGTGCCTTCCTCCCTCGATACCTCCCTTACCGGCAAGCCCCTGACACAGGTCACAGGGTTAATACCCCAGCACCCGCTACGCCGAACGATCTGGTTATGCCTCCCACCCTCAGCATAACTCCACAAGCCTCAAGGCCCCCCTAGGTCGCAGAGCAAAAGCTCCAACACCGGCCTGCGTCGTCCCAACTTCGTTATTCTGATCTACTTGCCTAACAGGCATTCCTCTATTGAGAGCCTCCTGACTAGATCTCATCCTCCGGTTCTACCCCCCCCCCCTGCCCTCCTTCAGAAAAAATTGACTCAGACAAAAGCAGAGAAAACCCCTTCTACCCCACGAAACGAGAGGGAGGGAGGGAAAAATCACCCCTCATCCTGTGGCGGTTCCGGTGTCTATTCGAAGCTCAACTATTCATGAAGAACTCACAAACACTTCCCGAGATTACTCCTCTCTCAAAAACATCCCTTTGTCCTTACACTGTCTCCGCCGGAGGGCGCCCCCTCACCACACCGGCCCCAGTTCAGAACAACCCCCTAAACGGCCATTCCCGCTCCCTCAGCAGCATACAATTCCCCCTAGAGTATGCCCCCCTAGATTTGGAGTTCCCCGTTTCCTCCTGTCCCACCCCCTCCCAGCGAGAAAGCCCTCTTTACCTCTCATTTTGCTAAATTCAGCACCCCTTGTCCACTCTCCCCAACCGCCATACTGATCCGACCCAAAAATCAGCATGGCCCAGAAAAGGACAATCCCACTATACCGCCCCTACCCTCAGAGTCTCAAGGACAACACCTCCCACCTTGTGTAGCCCTCGCAGGGAGGAACTCCAATCCTGAGGAAATAACCCCGATCAATACTTGTGAGCCCAAACCCTACAAAGCTCATGTTGAGCCTCAAGATTTCCATACCCCCCAAAACAGACTAAAACTAGAGAATCAAAAGATGAATTACTAAGTAAAAACTAAATAGCATCGAAATCATAAAATCCATCGCAAAACAGATAAGATTGTAAAAATAGAGAAATCGCTAAGACTAATTACTAAGTAAAACTAATAAGCATCAAAATCAGAAAATCCATCGAGGTACAGATAAGATTGGGAAAAGGAAAATCGCTCAGACCGAATATATGATTTGATGACTTTGAAAATCGACAAAATAGAAATTGATTCTGATGTCCAAAAAGACTTTCGACGCTGATTTCCGGAACCCAAGGTTCAGAAAATGGCTCAGACCGTAAATCAGGAATTACAAAGCAGAAGAAACAAATCGACAATCAAACTTTACAGCAAACATACAAATTATCATTGGAATATACACTAAGGAATTATTTCAGAATTACTTTTCAGAGTGTGAGAAGGAGAGAAACCTATCTATAAAGAATCACCGACGATTGGCAGTGGTACATAAGACTCTCAATTAGGATTCAAAACTAGATTAACTAATCATGAGAACGTAATCAGTATTATCATCAACACAGACAAACGCAATCGATTATTCCACACGACCCTAAGTATGACCTCCGGACTAATCCGGGACGTAACGATAAGAGTAACAATCCACCAAATAATCCATCTCCCTCCCAACTTACCACAACTCTCTCAAACCCTACCCCAGCATCTTCGGGGGAGAAGAAACCCTACCCCATTACTAGCACCTAGGCTCCGAGTAACGCTAGCACCGAAAACTTTGACGGCCATTTTCCATTTCCCAAAAGAAAACTAGAAAAGCGGTGTGGCTCCACCTTACCAAACCCGTTAGCAAGGCACCACAAGCTATGTTCCCCCCTGGCCGCGACCGAGTTCGGTTGTGGCCATGGCCGCCGACCGTAGACGGGACCCCCCCCGGCCGTGGCCGCTCCGGCCGAGAATGTCCGGCCGTGGTCGTGGCCGATCGGGGAGGGGGCTTTGGGAGCGGGGAGCGGGTTTCGGGKGGGGGGGGGGGGGGAGCACCCCCTCAAAGTGGCAGACCGTCAAAAAAATAAAAAACGGCGGGCCGGGGGGTCCTAAACATGGGCGTGGCAGGGTGGGCGGGGAAAATTTATGCGTCCCCCGAGTTGCGGTTTGTCGACGCAGGTGCGCAGGGAGGAGGGTCGGCAACACAAGAAAAAATAAATAAAAAATGTGGCGCCTGCAGGAACGGCTTAAAGGGGGTTGGATGGGGGCTGGGTTAGCGCGTGGGGGTCGGGTAAGGGCTGGGCGGGGGTGCGGATGGCATACCAAAGGCCGCTCAGTCAGGCATCAATTTCATTTGTGAGGCTTGTGAAAGTTCGTGGAAGTTTATGAAACAACACATTCATTAGCATAGCATCCCTATTTCGCATACCAAATTCCCAACACATTTACAATGTGGGCAACCATAACATGCATGTGTGTGTTCATTCGTGAGGCTGGTGAAAGTTCGTGAAACAACACATTCATTAGCATATCATCCGTATTTGGCATACGAAATTCACATCACATTCACAATGGGGGCAACCATGACATGCATGTGTGTGGCATCGGACAAAGACACGATTTACAACATTGCTACAACAATACCCGCTGCATCGGGGACATTTACGACCCTCGCCGCTGCTGCCCGCAGCCTGAGTCCGTGGTGACAAACGTCCTGCGAAGGTGCCCGTCCTGGCGTTGTAATCTGCCCTCAACCGGTCCGTGACCCGTCAATGAGCTGCCCATCCGCCAACGACACCACCTCGGACAGGCGGCGGGGAACCACCAATGTGCGCACGGGCCGTCGTCTCCTCGTCGCTCGCCTCCGCGGCCCGTGCGGGTGGGGGGGGCATCGATTCGGCAGATCCGCCGCCGTCACTGCGGCGGCCCGACCCCCCCTCAACCACCCCGGACTCCCTCCCTCTGATGCCGCTGAGCGACGAGCCCGACCATCGAGGGCTCTGCACGAGGTAGGGTGGGGGTGAATACGCCCCTCCAGAGGGGCGCCTCTCGCCGCTCCTGCGGCCCGTATGGGGGAAAGGGTCCTGAGTACCGACTTGCACCAAATCGTCGACGTCGAGCATAACCTGCGCTAAGTCGTCGGGGCGTAGGAGAGGTAGTGTAGGGTCCCTCACGACCAAAACGAGCATCTCCTCATCGTCGTCGCCACCGTTGTCGCCACTGCCATCGTGGTCGTCGGACCCGTCCTCGTCCTCGTCGAGATGGTCGCCGTCAACATCTCCACCGGGTCCACCCTCCCCCCCACCAGCCACGGCAACACCCTGTCCCTCATCACCCGCGGGGACACCCTCTCCCCCGCCACCCACGTCGATATCCTCTCTGACAACACCCTCTCGGACCTCTCCCACAACAGCCTCCCCACGGACATCCACGTCGCTGGCGTCACCGCCGCCACCCCCCCTGCCTCCAACTCCCTCAGTCGACGCTGCTCCTCCAGATACGCAAACCGACCCTCCCATCCTGGCAAAGTCTGCAGCCACTCCTCCTCCTGTCTGTCCAGCCGGGCATCCCGCTCCTCTGCGTCGTCAGTACGGAGCTCCGACGGGGAGGCACCGCCCTGCCTCGGGGCAGTAAAATCCCTCAAGCCCCCACCTGATCCCCTGACGTCAAAGTCGTCGGTACGGAGCTACGACGGCGAGCGCGGGAGGAGACTGGCGCCAGACGGGGTCCTCTCCACGTCCGGCATGTCCACAGGCCTCGCCCCCTCACGGTCCTCGCTATCATGCATCCGCTGTCTCTCTGCTGCCGACGCCAACCTCGCCGAACGCCTCTCCGACTGGGGTGGTCCCGTAGTCCAATGATGAGAGGGAGAGTACCGACGATCCTGACGGGGCACCGCCTCCTCCTCGTCCTCCCTCTCTGGCTCTTTGTTGCTCCTGACCTCCCAACGTCTGCTGGTCTGCCGAAGGCCCCGAAGTGGCTCGTTCTCCTCAACGTCCTCGTCGCCACGCGGACGTCGTCCACGACGATCACCGGCTCTGCCCGTGGCACTGCCCTGTCCACCCGACGACACATCGTCAGTGTTGACCGATGTTTGTGGAGCCATGCCGTCAAGTCCTCCATCGTTAGTGAAATACACCCGCTCCGCCGTCGCGTCGCCACTGATGGGCGCGTCATCATCGCCCGTCTACTATTCGTCGGACGTGTCGTCATCCGCATCAGCGTCCGGAGTGCCGTCAGCCCCTGCAGTGTACTCCGGCCATGGTCGTAGCTCTGTCGCCCTCTTGCCGAACACGTCCTGAACGGGGTCGCCTCTGGACGATCGGCAGGCATGGAAAGCGACGACGTGGCGCTCAATGTCCTGCTCGTTAACACTGCCAGCAGGTCGCGTTCCCCACACCTCGGGCTCCACGTCTCCCTTGTCGTCCTCCTCGCCTCCCGCCGTCCCCTCCCGACCGGTCCCCATAACCCACGGCAACACGTAGCCACCACCCTGCTGTGTGCACGCGACCAGTTTGAGATTGGTGGAAATCTCAACCATTTGTGCTAGGTTGGCAAACCCAAGCTTGCTGCGCCTCGCCGTGTTGATGTGCTCGTGTTACGCCCAGTTCCTCTCCGCAGGAGAGGCGAACGTCCACAAGTGCATCACACAGATCGTGATGGTGCGCAACTCGGGGTGATGACGTCCGTGAGCAAACCACCACGCCGCGCAACGCTCGGTCTCACGTTCGCCTCGGCATCGGACAGCTACCGATCTCCCCAGTTTCCCCCCCGCGAGTGGAAATGCGTCATCTGGTCGCGCACGGTCCTGTACAGTCTGCCGACCGGATCGCCGCCGGTCTGTGCGAGCAGAAATCTGTCGCACTCCTCGACCACACGGGCGTCTTTCACTGGTCGTCTGCAACGACTCATAATATCGAAGGGACCGTCGACGAGGGTTCAGGAGGTGTGTCACGGCATGTGCGGGCTCGAGCATGTGGAGGTTGGGGATGGCAACCTCGCACACGCACGGCTCGACCATGTCCGCCAGCACATCTACCCTCCTCATCAACTCAAGCAGATGCTGACTCCACTCGTACACGATGGACATCATCATCCCCCCTCTATCCATCCTCCTCAATAGCTGGTGGACAGGTGCCATAACGCGGATGGCACAGTCAACACATCGCCAGAACTCCCCGTCACGGATCAGCTACTGCACCCACTGCGCCTGGGCGAGAAGCCTGCGCTCCCACAGGATGTGCGCCCATGCGTCGTCGTACAGCATGCTCTCTAGCGCGTCCTGCCGGCCTTTGAGACACGTCAGCATCAGGAAAACCGATGCAAACCGGGTCTCCACGGGCTCGACGAGCATGACGCGATGGCTCATCCTCCTGAAAAGGGTGTGAGCAGTGTCATGCGATTTAATAAATCGCACTAACGCTCGGGCACGGATGATGGTCTCCTTGACCCACCCCCCTCGCGTCCCGACATCTGACAACATCAAGTTGCGGACGTGGGTGGAGCAAGGAAGCCAAGTGATCCTCCTAATGTCCGCGTCAGGGTCTGTGGCGAATCTGCGTGCCACCGCCGTATAGTTACTGGCGGAGTACGTGCAGAAGCCGATCACGTCCTTTCCAGGACAGAACAAGATGATGGTCCGCCACCTGCGATACACGACATCCACCGTATCGCGGACAGACCCGTCACGTGCGACAGTGGCGTACAACAGGGCGCCGTTCACGTCCCCGGCCAGGAAGTTCACGAGCGGCTTGCCGCTACGCGACTTCCTTCCATCGGAGAGGATGGTGGCACCGGTGTGCTGGAAAGCGGAGGGCACCTCGCTCGCCATCGACGCTACCTTCTTCCTCTGTGAAGGGATCCCAGCGCCCGCTGTAACCCTGTACGAGGGAAACTGGAACCGAACTATGCGGGGTACTCTCTCTACCGCCCAGGGAACCCTCTGGAACTCCGGCCCTCGGAAGGCGTTGAATGGCAACCCCTTCCCGTAGATCCACTGCAGCCACACGTTTGAAAACTCGGCCAACTTCTCCTTATCGTACATCTCCTCGATCGTCGTCTGCCGTGCCCTCTTCTCCCTCGTCGTGTCCCGCACGTCGACATCCTCCTCCCCCACTTTCCTCTTCTCCCTCCTCGTGTGGTCCAAATCAGGTTGTGACGCCCTCGCAGCGTGACCCGCTGCCTCAACCCCTCTCGACGTCATCACTACCTCCTCCCCTGGCAGGTCAGGGCCTCCGACTGCGTCGTCTCGCATCCCCGCCTCGCTGACCCCACCCTGGCCCCCCTCCTGCTCATGGAGGACGTCCTGAATCTCGTCCCTCTCTGCCTCGTCCGTCCGTGGCCGTTGCCCACCCGCGGGCGCTCTCGTATCCTGTATCCCCTCCTATGCCATCCACCTCTGCACCCGCCGAGTAGTGCTGTCCACAAACCTGTAGTCGGTGCCGTTCCAAAGATCCATGAGAACTCTCATCCCCGCAACCTCGCAGTACTTCGGCTGTGTGAAATGGCGAGCGACCTTCATCTCGTTCCCCTGCCAGACGTGGCTGCAAAAGTTGCAACGCAACTTCCGGTCCCCATGCATCTTCGACTGGTCCCCCACAAGCTGGCCCGCAGTGACGAAGTTCCACACCAAGTTGCCTTGCCTCAACCTCTCCATCTCCCTGTCAGACTGTGGGATGAACCCCCCACCCGCAGACCCCCCTGCACCGCTGGTCCCCGCACCCCCCGTCATCGTCCCCCAACTCCCTATGCTGCTATGCACAGCCAACTCTGAGCGTCGAAGTCCTCGGCCCGTCCGTCGATGTCGCTGTTCACTCCACACCGTCGATGAAGTCCTCGTCACCCGCTTGGAAAACGGCCCCGTGCTGGCACCCTCGCTGCCCCCTGCTGGTACCCTCACGGCCCCCCACCCCGAACAGCCCACCGGCCCGCCCCAGGTGCCGCGGCCGAGGCCCCTCCCGGCGTCTCAGCGAGTTCGGCCGTCTCAGCGAGTTCGGCCTAGTTTGCCCTGAACGCCCTTTTTTTTCTTTTCTTTTTTTTGCGTGAAAATGTGGGAAAAACATTCCTGCACCAAACTCGGCTGGTCGGCCTTGGCCGAACCCGGCCGATTTTTCGGCCCCGACCGTGATCGGGCGTGCAACATAGGCCACATGGGGTTCAAGCATCCGTCCATATCCACTTACCACCCTGTTGAAGAAAAGAGGAGAGATGACCTCATCACCAACACCAATCCGTTGCCCCTTTCGAAATTTCGCCCTATTCGCATATCATCAAGAAGAGAACCCTCATGAGTGTCCAGCAGCTGATGACGACTCCAACGTGGACCAACGACGAGACGAAGTAGCAAGCAATGGAGGATTGTCAACACCTCAACACCTCACATCGAAACTTGGCAATCGAACACGTCGGTTTGGCAAAGCGCCGTCCTCACCACCCCGACCCCCCGCCTCTGCCCGCCGCTACTCCCGGTCACTCTTCGTCGCCATGCGCCGCATTCCTTCACGCCTCTCCGCTCGCCGCTGTTCCCTGTCTCCCTTTGTTGCCATGCGATGCATCCTCTTCCCTTGCGCCACTCCGCTCGCTGCTGTGTTGCCGTGGGAAAACGCGAACCAGGCGCAGCGCTCCCGGCAGCCCTGAGCCCTGCCAGATCCTACCTAAAGCAGTGACAGATCAAACTGATGTAGATGTTGGATGATTTTTATGTTTCTGTATTTAAACTGATGTGGATGTCGATGTTGGGTATTTTACGTTTCTGTTTTTTAACTGATGTAGATGTTGGATGAATTTTTGTCCTTTTTTCTCGAAGTTGACGAGTACTTTTGGGACCATGGTTGTATTCGGTACTAGTCGAACCCGTAATCAATTGTGCTAGGACCATGGTCGTATTCGGTACTGTCGAACCCGTAATCAATTGGATCACCGACGTCAGTTTTTCACCAACAACCGTAAAGATCCCTGACGAGGGCTGGAGTGGAGGCCAGCCGAAACCAGTCGTATTACGCCACGGTTTGACTTGGCTCAGCGTTTTTCATGTTAATTTTTACGACCCAATCGCGCTCAGGAGAACATTTTTTCAAAAAAGAAGGCTGCCAGGTGAAACCTGTCGGATTATGTCGTTTCCGGCTGAAGGAAAAGTCTCAGGTAGACAGTTTCTATGGGGCGTAGGCCTCCCAAAGGGTAACGGAGGCGTGCAAAGGTTCCCTCAGGCTGGACGGAAATCATCCATTGAGTGTAAAGGCAAAAGGGAGCTTGACTGCAAGACTGACTCGTCGAGCAGGGACGAAAGTCGGCCTTAGTGATGGTTTGACTTGGCTCGGCGTTTTTCATGTTAATTTTTACGAGCCGGTCGCGCTTGGGAGAACATTTTTTCATCTTGTCTTGGTTTTCTTCCTCTTCTTCTTCTTCTTCTTTTTCCTTCTTCTTCTTCTTGTTTTTCCTTCTTCTTCGTCTCCTCACTTCTTTTCCTTCTTGATGTGATGTTATGACGACTTGTCATCGATGGTCTTTATGAGTATCGACTAAGTTGTTGTACGTACAACAACTCTACTGGGTGGGGGTAATATGAGCTGCCCGCCCTAGTAGTGTCATTAGTACCCGCAAATGCGGCCACAGCTTCTCCTCTTGCCAACCCTGTTGGGTTCCCAAGGGACAAGTGGCACTGTTTCTGTTTCTGCCTTTTTTTTGCTATCCACCATTCAGCATGTTCGGCAGGGAAAGGGTCTCACTCCACTATTCACCATGTTTACAAAAGACAAAAAATATGGCCGTGTATCTTTCCATGTTCTATCAGAAGATTCATTCTCATTTTGCACATGTGGTAAGTGGTAGAGGGAGGCCCAAAGTATGACAGACACAACTGTCTAAACACAAAGATTTTTCTTTTAAATACAAGTCTTAGATTGGGATGTTTTCAAGAATGGTGAGGATGAAGCATTATTGTGGCCACAATGATCCGGCGGTCTAGCTCAGTTGGCAAGGCATGCAAGCCACGGCAAGTGGCATTCAGGAGGTCTTCAGTCAATCCCCTTTGGCCTCATGTACCGGAGCCCTGAGGCTTCGCCGCCGACCTTTCAAAAATTGCGTTCAAATTTGCGTTGTCAGGTTCGAATTCGCGTTGTCAGGGACTGTTCCGTGACGCCCGTCCGCCAGGCCATGTCCAAAAGCCTTGCACCTCAACAGGCCTATGAAACCGTATGA